AAATATAACATCCAGTGAAACGTAAACCTTGTAGTATTATTTTTTTTTGTACATGATCATTATTCTCTAGACGTAAACAACTTTATAATCATTAGTTGTAGACATTACATTTAAAAAAAGTTACGGCATTTTGTAAAGTAAACTATAATTATTTTTGATTAATACAAGATATACAAAAAATAATGAATGAAGATCAAAAATATTCACATTTTGATCTAATTATAAATATGATTATATTTTTTTTTGTTGCTTTTAAATTGTTTTGACAAATTATCTTTAAAACAATTGTAGGTATCAAAAATGTTAAGAGTTTTCTTTCAATTATTTGAAAACATTAATTTTAAAGCACTTTATACATATTTTTAATATAATTTGTTGTTTTAATGCTCAATTCTATGGTTATTCCTAACAATTATACAACTAACTTGCAAATCATTAATATTTACAAATGTTCAATAAAAGTCGAAATTTCTATCTTTTATTACCAATAAATTAAATTTATTAGTAAACGTATAAAACGAAAATAGAAAATGATATTGTTTTTAAATGTAAAGTAGAAAAAAGTTATTATTGAATAAATGTGAAAAACAACTTTATTATTGAACTGTTATGGTATCTAAAGTAATGCAATTTATAAGTTTTATTACGATATTCAGCTAAAAATATATATTTTAATTAGAAGTGCAAAAAAAAACGTATTGATAAATGTAGACTAATTTATCAATAAATTATTTACAATTATGATCAAAGTTTAATTGATTTGAACAAAACGTTGATAAATATATACATTATATTTATTTGCATCTATAATGCGTTTCATAGAAATGCAATTTTGTTTATTGTGTTCATAAAAATTTGCGCGTTAATTATTGACATTTAAATTGCTAAATTTAGTTTACAATTACGTTGCATAATTTCAAATTGGATTGTTGTAGTGTAGGCAACCAAAGATGATCCAATGAGTTGGCCAAAGCGCGAAATGCATTACAATAAGAAAATAATAAGAGCAGTGTTATTTTCATATATAAATGTTTTTTTATATTTCACATAACTTAGTTGTGTCTATTAGTGAACTTGTTTAATTAATTGACAGAATTATATCTATTTAGCATTGAGAGTATATAATTACAGTAAGATTTCACTTAATAATGGAATGGATAATTAATGGAATTTTCTTTGAAGTGTTTACTTGTTATTTCATAATATAACTTTATTACTTTCTTATATACAAATGCATAATTCAAGAGAACTCGAAATGGAAAAAAAGTAACACGATTTTTAATAATATTCTCATTTGTTGTTTCATATAATTATATGCATACAATGTGTGACAAAAGCAAATTATACTGTTGACCTGTATGAAAACACGGAGGGATTGAATCGATACAGAAACAAGTTACACGGCAAATAATCAAAGTGATTTACTACGGAGCCTTTGCGGTATTAGGGTCAGGGATTTGCGAGTCCCAAATGAGATCTCTCAACTCTTTCCGCAAAAGAAAATAATCTGGAATGCGCTGAGGCAGAGGAAAGAAAGAATTAATTGAAGAGGAATTTCATCTTCTCCGCATAATGGTTTCCATTGACTTCGATGTAGGCCGTGGCATTAATATTTTATCGTTCTGTTCAATGTAATATATACACCCAAAAACAAAAATGTGGGAAGTAACCTCGAGTCGTAATTTACAATTACTTGCATTTTCTTCGTGGCATAAATTTTCTTTGGCCAATAACTGTGCAAATATTTAATTGAATCAATGTTTGCCATGATTAATGCAGTGCCTAACGATTTATGTTCATTATATTTAGAATAATTTGCAATTGTATAAATATCAACCAGATATGATTTATACTATTATTCATGCATTCATGTCAATCGTTTTAGTAAATTAGAAATGGAAAGTTTCTCAATTTTTATTTGTACGCCATTGTTTTCATAAGTTCATTTATTAGGTTCAATTTTTACTTAGAAAAGAATATTTTATTGCCGACTTTTTACACAGAATTATAAAGATGCGTCTTATGGTCCGATCTGATTGTTATAACGTGTTTGACGCCTAATGTGTTAATTTTATGAGAATGACGCATTTTGTTATATCGTCAAGATTATATATAAGTTCTATTTACATTATAAAGCGCAGCTTCCTGAAGATGCAAGGATTGGCCACATAAGTAAATATTTATATGATATTTACTAAGAGAAATACATTGGTTTGTTGTGCGTTTGGTGTATTTTGAATATAAATGGCATATTAATGCAATATCCGGTTTTACTAGTTTGGAACTATCGTAGAAGTGGATTTCTGCTTTTCTTGAATTATTATATTGCAGTTTCAAATAAAATTCAATAACACGACGATAAAGCTATCAATAGCTTCACAAATTATATCACGTGGAAATAATGTCATAGTTTTGCAGTGATTTCATAACATATAATATTTATATCTATTTGAATAACAATATAGAACAATATTATTAAAAATTTCATACATTTTCCATTCTATTCATTCAACTTTTAATAAATTTAATGTATCTAAAAAAAATCTCCAAGTTTTCTAAGAAATGTAGAGATTACTATATTGCAAAGATTATCAAACATGAAAATGAACAAAATAATCAAAGAAATGAAAATTTATAATTAGATGCATATGCTTCATTCAGTTCTTATAGTTTCGAAATTAATGTATAGTAAATATCTGTAGTGGTGATTCCGACTATTTATAGATGTGGGACGTGTAAAAATCTATTTTAAAGAAGGAAATTAATTAATGAGCAATTGAAAGAATGAACGTGTTCCAAAATAATTATTTTTGATTAATACAAGATATACAAAAAATAATGAATGAAGATCAAAAATATTCAAATTTTGATCTAATTATAAATATGATTATATTTTTTTTTGTTGCTTTTAAATTGTTTTGACAAATTATCTTTTAAGTTTTCTAAGAAATGTAGAGATTACTATATTGCAAAGATTATCAAACATGAAAATGAACAAAATAATCAAAGAAATGAAAATTTATAATTAGATGCATATGCTTCATTCAGTTCTTATAGTTTCGAAATTAATGTATAGTAAATATCTGTAGTGGTGATTCCGACTATTTATAGATGTGGGACGTGTAAAAATCTATTTTAAAGAAGGAAATTAATTAATGAGCAATTGAAAGAATGAACGTGTTCCAAAATAAACTTGTATTTTTGTTTACACTTTAAACTTTAAAATAAGCCGTTTGTACTAATGTTCCGAAGATCTCTTGGGACAAACTGGAAATAAATTGTGAACTAAGCAGATGGCGATGGACATAATTTATGATAATTTCTTTGTATATAAATAGAATATTCTCGGCTAGGAACAAATATAACTGATTTACGTTGATTATTATATATCAACAAAAATAATATTTATTTATATAAATAATTAATGATGATGATTAATGTAGTGTAATGATGTTAATTGTTTCAGTGTTTGCTAATGTGTCACAAGTACAGCTAATACATTGAAACTTCTATTTATATTTACTTTCTTTATACAATACTATTTCCATTTTGAAGTACTTGTTCTCTTTTTTGAGAATACAGGAATTGGATAGGCTTTATTTTTAAATTAGAATTAATTGCTTTTAAATTATGAACGCCAGGTAAAATTAATGCGAAGGTTATCAAAACTGATGACTCTGATGTATTAAGTGTACACGAATGCTCATTGCTGCTGCTATTAAACAATACAATTTTAATATGTTTAGTACGTTGTAGCCAAGTAAACAATCTGAGTCATGGGAAAAGTTTCTATGAGTTAAGCCAAAATAAAAAGATTTTCTTTCAAAATTCTTGTTTACCACACTTGCACACAGGATATCTGGAAACGCTGACGGCAGGAAATTTAGTTCAAGCCACAAACAATGCTCATCATTATTTATCTATATCACATTTCAGTGATACACGCATCCATTTATATAAAAAAAAATTATATAAAGTAGACGGGCGTGTACATTTACTTTACAACTCTTTGCAAATTTTCGTACTTTTATTATTTTTTTTTAAATTATGCTTATCATTCGTTTATATCGCTCTTTACGCTAATTGTCGCAGCGATAAAGCACGAAATGATGGAGCGGCACACACAATCACAAGAAACTCAGACACGGTCTACTGAAAGTTATATAATATTAGTAAAGTTTTAATAACTTCGCGTCGCTATTAATAATTTGTTCCGTTGTGTTTCTTGAATTTATAGAATAGTCGAGCAAGTGCAGGCAATCGAATGGAATGAGAGTGTACCACGCGCCGCTTGCGCGTTCGAAAATAAATAAAGACTTAAGGTATAAACAAGTTTCGTTGCGTTTCGTGTGATAAGTTATTTACTTTTACTTCTTGATTATTGCACCGGGGGTCGGGATGAAATACGGTTTTCCGAAGTTCGCCGTGTGAAGGAGGAGAGGTGAAGAAGGTGCGACTCTCTCGCACAATGCTTTTTCTTCATTTCGCGCCGTCGCGTCGCGGATTGTTTGTTAATTGTCGGCAGCCGCGAAATGGAGGAATCCAATAATAATTGTAAGCAAAGCGGAAAATCGTAGAACAATACACTTGTGTATGTGTGTGTGTGTGAAGTTTCCTTGGAAATTTGAAGTTTTTCATCTCGAAGTTTGGAATAAAAGTGATATGTCGTGGAAGAGGCAGTACGAGGAGTTCCATCTGGGCAGGGGTCTCGAGAAGCGCCTACTCCGCTCCTACTCGGTATTCCATTCATCATTGCGTTTCTTTCATTGTTGTCGATCTTGTTGTTCTGTCTGTTGTTGGGCCGGAGCTGCGCTATAATTAAACGTTCTTAAACGTAAATGTTCAACACCATAAGTAGCAGGTTGATTTTAAAATAACTTGTTACTATGATGCAACCAATACACATTTCTCCCAATAATAATAACGAAATATTTCAAATTAAATTTATTTTTAAATTAATTGATCTATGTTTTATTAATTCGTTTGAAATTTGATTGCAGGAATTGGGATCTCAGCCGTTGCCTACTCTGACGGACGATGTGGAAACTCTTCCGTTGCCGCGGCCTCGGTCCGGTACTTGGGGTGCCAAAGACTCCAAGAAGGAGTCCAAGAGCAAGAAGGACAAATCCAAAGATAAAGATAAGTCAGAGGCGAAGGAGCGGAAGCGCGAGAAGGAGAGGGCTTCGCGCAGTGGATCCGCCTCCAGGTCGAGTTCCGCGGAGAGGCGGAAATCCGGCGAGGATATTCAAAGTCCGAAACGCGGCGGAATGCTCGACGCCTTCAGGAGTAGATCGCATTCGGATGCCAGCAAGAAGAAGGGATCGGCTCTCATGGCCACCATGAAGAGTGCCATGCTTGTAAGTGTAGAAGTGAAAACTGCAATTTCTGTTTTTCTTTACCCTTTTTGTTTCGCTTTCAGCATACGGGTTTGATGCACGCTAGACCGAAGGCACCCAGAGATGGTTCTGCCCATCCAGTTCGCGATGGTACGCACACCCAGTACTATCATACTGTCACCGCCGCCTCCTCCAGCAGAAACCCGATGACCAAAGTCATGGATATCTTCAGGAACAGATCGCACCAGAGTGTCCCACCGGAGGATCGACGAAAGGTAAGCGGTTTCCTATCAGTTTATAGTGTAACGTATTCATGGCGTTTCGAGTCCAACGACTTATGTAAAACCGTTTTGCTACATCAGCGTGTACATTGGGTTGCCTACCGTGATACTCATATAAAGCAATTAGAATCATCCCTTATATTTCTTAAACGTTTATTAAAGCTTTTAATATAATTATAACTTACTTATTTATAATAATAATATTTATTGCAATCCTTATACAGAATACACAAAGTAAATGAAAGTAATATAAATTCTAATAATTCATACCTATTGCAAAGAACTATTGACCATACGTAATTTTTCTGCACTATTTATAATAATAAAATAGGATTAACACGTTGACTGTCGACTACGAGATAACTCCTAGATTGCGTTATTTTCTAGGACGCCAACTACGAGTTATCTCGATGATACTATCATGCCATTTTTGTGCAGCTACGATTAAACTCGAATATATTAGTGCTAATATCAGAAGCAATTTTCTGGGAAAAGTACAAAAAATCTAAATGTCTTTTTAGGCCAGATTTCTGAAAATTGACGAGGCAGTCAACGTGTTAATAAAGTTTAAAAATAAATATTATTAACATCTTTATTATCCTATGTGGATCAAAGGGTAAATATTTGTTTCAATAAGAATTATTTTATTTTAGAAATCAAAAACTTTAATTATATAATTTCAAATTACTCTTCTTTTAAGAAAGTTTATCACATGGCAAAAGTCACCAACTACTGTTAAATATTCAATATAATATTACTAAAAAAAAATTGAAAATATATTCATTATATGAGTGAAGTTTCATTTACTTTTCATCGCTCTTAATTTTATATTAATTACGACACTTTAATCAAAACATTATGAATTTTGTTCATATTTGTTGTAATTACTTATCTTTATAATTTATTTTAAAATTTGGTTTAAACAATATATTAATAATTGTCAGTAATACAATATTTTTATTGATATATAAAATAAAATATTGAATTTAGTATACCGGTTGATTCGAAGAATATAAAGTTCTAAAAAAATCACACTAAAATAATGGAATCAATCGCTTTAGTTTGAATTGGCATTTACAATTGACACATTCCCACATAATTTACATACCCCGCCTGTTTGGAAACAATTCGTCCAACTGACAAGTAAATACTACTTACTGTATATAAGATAAATCGACATGCTGTGAACATTAAATTGTGAAGCGTTTACTTGCTCATGATTTATTGCATTTATTTAATAGATATGCTACTAAAAACTTATCAATTTGACCTTAACAATTCTATCGAGCGTACAAACATTGTTTTTGGATAGAATTTTACTCATACACACCTCTTGTTGACATGCTTTTCGCATTAAATACTTAAAAATCAATTGATTCATACAGTACACAGGCAGTATTTGATTATTTATTTTTTAAATTATCGTCCTAAAAGCTATTTTCTTTACCTCTATGCACTCTCACTTTCAAGGTCAGTGAAGAAACGCATTGTAAATAGAAATTACGAATTATTACTTTTTATGATCTGTTGCTGTTCAATTAATTGCAGAAATCGTGGATTTTGTTTTCGTGTTTGTTTCGATTAATTTTATTAATCAGTGAAATAAATTTAATTTGTTTCAGTTATTTTTAGCTATGACGTTTTTCATATAAACTTTATTTCATTACTATTACAAATCTTCAACATTGTTACTTCAAAGACTTTTTCAACCAAGTTCACTAAATTTATTAGATTCCAAACTAGATTTATATTAAAATTGCATGCAATTCCTTTTGTAGATTATATCTTTCATGGTATTAATATGAACATTAAATTAACATTGAGGTCAAGACTTGACCTGTTAAATTTAACAAATGTACCTATAAATGAGTATCTATATTTAGACATAAAATTAGAAACAAATTCTCTTAAATTATATTTCTTGAACATTAAATTAACATTAACTATTATTTACAAAATATTATTTACAAAATATTATTTACAATTGAATTGTCAATTCGCAAACAATACTTTTCTTAAAAATGAATACCACAGATTGAAAATACCACCTACAATGCAATACAAATAGCAGTTAACAAAGGACTTCTCTTACTTTTGTTTTTTTTTATTGAATCTTCAATCGGTGCTGCAATCACAAAATTTGTGCATGGTGTAGCAGAAATATAAAAGGAAGGAACGTGTTTGCTCATTCACACGTCAACATATCGAGATAATGATAGTCTGTAATGATGACTTGGTCTTCTCTGACCGTGTTCGAAAGCATTCCCAGCCCAGTATCACTTCGGACGTCGCTTAGTATGCTCATTTACGTATCGGAAACAATTAATTTACTTCGCGAAACCACGTCCATTAAAAAAGCAGCGACATGCATCCTACTTACGGAACGATTGTTTTAGTTAACGAGACGTTGCTATCCAAAGGTTATTGCGGCACATTCGAACTGTAAAAAAAATAATTTATCAAGTGCATCAAAAACGTCTGGTAATTAAAGATCGTTTCGCGAAGATCTCAACATAAATTTCAAGTCATTCCCATTACATAATTCGATTATCTTTGAATGAATGAACTCGTTCAAAAGACGCTTTAGTAATTTGATATTAATAAAAATGCAACTTGTTGTTGATTCTTTTATATATATATATATATTTTTTAAGTACATCGGTTTGCTAATAATAACCAACCAGACAGTAATTTGTTTATGGATTCGCGTATAAAAAGCGCAAGCGGCATGTGTTTTTGAGTGTCGATTGTAATTGAAATGCGCTATCTCTTGTGTGCGTGTGTTTTGATCCACTTTGTTGGTCTCTTCGTGTGGGTTATGTTTGTGATGCTGATGAGATGTGAGTTCAAAGATGCAAGGTCAATGTAAACACTGGCATTCATTTTGCATCGATTCAACATATTTAGAAGTGTATCAATAATAGTGTGTGTGTGTTTGTATATATTTTAGTTATAATAAATATTTAAAGCCCGAGCATGACTCGTGACAGCTTGTTTTGATAGCAAATACTGAATACACTGATTCTGTTGAAATCAATTGTAGTTGTGGAATTTAATGAAAACGATCATATTTGCAAAATATGTTTACGTATTTTCATTACGGAATATTTCGTTAAGGTGTGCGTATTTATGCAATTTATTTTTGTGTTGTTATTGAAAGGAGTAAAAACTGAGGTGCTGTATATTATTGAAAATAGCATATTTATACTATCAATTTGGTATTTCTATATAATTTCTAAAGCTAAGAGTGATAAATCTTAATATTACATACACTCAAATAGTGCACACAATGTTTGTAGTAAGTTACCATACAAATTGTAATATAAAGTAAACTATATACCAAAGTATATTTACTTCGAAAATCTCTTATTTAGCTTATTTAGCATAAATTTATATAGACAATTGAAAAACAATACTTATTAAATAATTAATGATTACACAGTGAAGCTTCGATCAGTGAGGATTCATTAGTGATTTTAACTATATTTTAATTGAGGAATAAAACTAAATTCTAAAAAAAAATGGTAAACAAAATTACTTTAATAATAATATATTGCATCAGTACAAAAAAAACATATACAGAAATAAAAAGAACAAAATAAATATATATAATTTCAAAAAAGTCAACTGATACAAAGGGCTATTGACCATAGGTCTTTCTGCCCTTACATGCTTTATTAGTCCGGTTTCAAACAGTGCGATATATTAAAATAAATTCTATGAAAATCTTAAGTATACAATAAAAGTAACGAAAGTATATTTGCTTATAGTAGAGGAAAATTATTGAATTAACTTAAGTGTAAATTTAAACTGAAAATTCAATTCAATAGAATTTACAAGTATACATTGGTTATGAAAAAAACATCAAGTATATTAGGTATAATAAATTATGAAATTATTCTAATTGTTAATTGCTCCAAGATAATAGATGTATCACACATCGCGTAAGAAAACAGGCGCAATTATGGAATATAAATCAAACCAAATATGTAATCAATTGTGTCAACATATTTTGTTATTTAGTTTTAAACAATGTCCTTTATTATTATCATGATTGGACTTTGTGTATAATTGTATTATTACTTATTGCTTTATTATTATTTTTTCAACCTTAAAAAATATTTAGATGAGCAAATGTTTTTGGAAATATATTTGTGCAAAACTATTATATTTCTATTTTTCATAAGAAAAACATATATTATTAAATTTGGACATAAAATATACCTATAATGCATGATTGCAGTACTTTTGGCCTGTAGTTAATGTTATTTCAATATTATACTGAATGATAAACATAATACAATTATTTATTACGAGACTGTTGCTGTAAGCTTCTTGTTGTATTTCAAGCTTGTACCTGTATTCATCAAAGCGATTTGGGTTTAACAAATGAAATCATTCAAATCCTTTGCACATATCAAGCGTAAATACAACGAATACCTCGCATAGTACGGCCAATATTCCGGACTGTTTAAAACTAGATTAATCGGAGACTTTTTAACTGCAAAAAAAGCACAAATGAAGACTTGGGAAATGAGACTATAGTGAATGCGAACTAATTGAAGCCGCACTATGCGAAGTACGTTTTATTAATAATTTAATAATGTTTATTTTGTTTTTTTTTAAATTTTTGTTTTAATTAAATTATTTAAATAGATATTCAGATTCATAGAATTAACATACATTCATTTCTTGTAATGACAATGATATATCTGATCCAGACGATACGCGCCAATGAATGGTTTAAATACATATTAAAGTTGAAAAACAACTGATAATTAATTTGTGTGTAATGTTCATCACAATTTCTGTTTACAGTCGAGTACTGGGAACGAGTGCACATAGTAATTGTATTTTCCAATGCTTAAACAAAAATTTGCTATTTAAAGAATTCGTTATTGTTAAACAATTTTATGCGATTTATTTAGTTTGAATTTTTCAAAGTTTACGAAATAAACTTGTTATTTCAGTTATTAATGCATTCAATTAATTTT